ACTGAAGTTTATATACATAATTCATATCTACATAATTATATACTGTGAAATTAAAAATTTTCTAAATAATGCGTAGTTTGAAATGTAAATTCGGCGCGTAGTAAAATTTTGATACTTTTGAAAATGTAAGTGTCAGACGCTCAGCTATATATAAAATTTCAAAAACAAAAATTTATTTATGTTTCTAAAAATTATCAAAAATGTAAAAATTATCAACATCCAACATTACAAAAACATAAGATTCCTAAAATTTTTATAAAAACCGATTCAGCCGAAATTTGGATATTCGAGTGCACAAGGAGATAGAAAACAGATTGTCGATCAGACCGTCGGCAAACCATGGAGAAGTTTAAAACTCGATATGTGAAATTTTACACCATCACAAAACCTCCCTTATTGGATCCAACGCAGTTGATGAAAAAAATTTATGGGAAAGTTCCTTTTTTTTTTTGGATATAAAATGATTGAAATAATAAATTTAATCGAATGAATTTTATTGCTATTTCCGTTATTTTTATGAAAGAAAAGTTTTTTAATTATTCATGCATTAGTTCAAATTTTATTCAGACAGAATAAAAGGGAATTCAATTTTTAAATTCTACCAATCTTGGTATGTTAAATTGAAAGAGAAAATATAATTTCTGCCGTCCCTCAGTGATCAGTCGCAGACCAGAGAGCCGCTCATTGTGAGTCTGTCGCGTCTGGATTTTCATTTGGATTATAGTGGACTCTTACCACAAGCATACCTTACTGCGGATATTTCGTAGCCCAATCCGCCGGAAAAAATTAAAAGAGTAATGCGGATGGAAAGCTTCCAAAGATACATTTCAGTTTTTTTTAAAGCTTATTGAATAAGACAGAAAGTCAGCTGTAATAGATTTAAAAAAATGCAAAACATAATTTGGTTAGAAAAGAAGCTTTATAAATGGCGGAAAAACCAAATATAATTTTTTTTATGTCGTTTGTTTAGAACACGAATGCTTTATTTTAAAATTTAATCAACAAAATGTTAATAACTTAATTTGTCAATAATTTTAGTGTTATATTCCTTACAAATTATGCGTCAATATTCCCTTGCATTCTGCTTTCTCTTAATCGAATTATGCATGAATTTACTTCCATAATTTCAATTATTTTATATGTTAAAATTCAGAAAGAATTGAGAAACTTAAAAAGTGAGGGTGTCGGTGTCTAGCAAAATGGGCGAAAATTTTAAAAATTGATGTATAGTTTGAATGTACTATAGATTATAGTACTCAATACAATAGATGGTAAAATTTAAGGTTATTATTCTACAATTTCAATATTACTAAATATCTCACCAATACAGTCTGGTGATAAATCACAGAAATTACATGGGAATTAGTATATTTTTCACATTTTTATATTTTCAATGTAAATTTACATATGTGAATGGAGTCTCAAATTAAAATATTAATTGATACAATACGGGAGCTTAAAATAATTTTTTCGATTTATAATTTTTATTGTACTTAAAGCTATTATTAATATTCATATACATACCCATATGCATTTGCATATGTCTGATACTTAAGGAAACTCAAGAGCAATAATGCACTTGGGAAAAAAGTATCAATTCCATGTATTTTATTATACCTTTCAAAAAGAACATTTTCTCTTTAATTTCTTCACTCTCATCACGATTCAAATCATTTCCTTTCATTCTAGTGTTTGTTTTAATTGACCTTAAAATTGTTTTGGATTTTTATTAAATTTTTATTAAATTCAACAATTTAAATAATATTCACACCCACTTTAAATTTAAATAATAATATTGCTTTTTCTTTAAAAACCTGTAATCAAATTGAAATAAATTCAAGTTTTTAACATTGACGTAATTTTAAACTTTATTAATTTAATCAAAATAGAAAAAAAATAAAAGGATTTTATTCCATAAATCCAAAACAAAAAAAAATATTTCTTCATTGCAGTATCCTGTGTAATTTTTAAAAGTTGAATGAATTTAGTGATTGACTGTTGTTTACCAACATAATGAAATTTTGTTTAAATTTTGGAATACGGTCGTCAAAACGGAATACAAGTAACAATATTTTTTCAGTAAACAAAAAATTAAAAATCATCACAAGGTGAAATTATTATTTTATTTTCCCATTTAAAATTAAATTTTTTTTATTTACTATAAAAATTTTTTTGTACAATTTTGAGCATAGTTTGTGTCGATATGCTTTTCATCAATGCAGTACAAAAATTTGTTTTTGAAAGAAAAAAATTCTGCACTGAAACGAGCTGCTGTGATTCTTTTTCTTCGCTATAATTCTGTAGATTGGCATTATTTAATTAATTTTTTTCCGTTTAACTGACTTTAAAACAAGTGACTTAATTTTTTTTTTTCGTTTGCAAAATAGTTTCATAAATTAAATTTTTTTGATTGTAATTAAATACAAGAAAAAAAATGGAAGAAAATTTTACTATAAAAAACGATGGAAGTGAAAAATTAAAAACTTTTTAGACTTAATTAAAACTAATGTTTTTAATGCTTTACACAATCCAAAGAGAAAAAAAAATAGTTTGACCATGAAAGTAAAAAATTAAAACTTTACCGCCACGCCACGTTCTGTAAAAGAAGAAATTTTTTTTTATTTTGTTTAAAGTAATATTAAAACTTTTTTTTTCTAACAAAATTTTAATTTTCTTTAATGAAAATCTTGTTTATTAAAAAATTATTAATTATTTTTTTTTTTTCTAAAAGTTAGAGTTAAGTCTTTATCATAGTGACCCTCTTCTGTAATAATTAATTTACTTTACAGCTTGTTTCCTTAAGTACAGTGTTTAAAATTTTTAAGAAATTATTCGAGATTTATCTTCAAAGTATTTAAATTCTGCTAGTAAAGTAAAAGAATTCTGAACAGAATTTATAAATAATTGGATTTAGTTTAATTCTAATATTGCAAGTAAAAGATTCTTGAATTGGAATCAAGTGCATATGGTGATGATCTTCAAAAGAAATCAAAATTTTATTAACCACTGACACCTGAGATTAAAAAATGTTGCAAGCAACAATAAGAATTTGGAGTCTGAACTTAATCTTTAATTAAATTTTAAAAATTTTGTATTTTAATTTTGACTATGTCTAAATTATTTGATCAAAATGTTTCCTGGAATCGCGCATACTATAAAATTTAAATTTATATAAGAATGTTTTTTTTTTACGTATGATTAGTTCTGTTGACTTCAAAAAATTAAACAAGTGTGAGATTTCGAGTTATTGAATTTGGCCAGAAGAATTTTAAATTGTATTGAAGACAAATTTAACTGCGTTTAAAAATAATCTGTGTACTGCATTATTAAATTTACTTTCATTCATATACTAGGCTATATCAAAAATTGCACACATCTAAGATGGGCTATGTGTGCAGTATTTCAAATAATTCAAATAATACAAACTTTGAAGAGAGGTGGAAATGTGTTAATTTGAGAGGACGTGCAGGTGGAAAAAACTTTTCCTCTAACAAAATAAACTATTTATGTATAAATTTCTAAAAGGTGTTAAAATTTCGGATTCTTTTTACCTGAGGCCTAGAATAAAAACGATATCAGAAATTTGGAAAAAAAAGGATTTTAGATAACAGTAAATTTTAACGGTCGTTTGGCTTTTTTGAACATCAAGTATGTGGTATGTCGCGGTAGAAGAAGGCAGCCACTTCTTTTCTGCGTTTGTAAACTTTGAGCAATGCATTTAGTTGCGGTGCAACAAATAGTTAAAAAATGATATTTTAATGGTTTTTTAAATTTTCTTGTATGGAAATCTACTATATACAGAGAAATATCATCTTTCTATCTTCAAGGGTATAGAAATTTTGTTAACATGTCCACGAACGGACAAGAAAAGAAACAGAGAAAACTAATAAGAAATTCATTTTCTTTTAAAGTATTGAAATAAAGTGTCATACTTACATGGTTTTAACAAGCTTTATAAAAATTTTTATTTCATTATTCTGCTCACTCGCGTCCTTATACAACTTATTACTAGTAAAAATATCTTTTAACTAATATAGTTCCTATTACTGAATATTAAATTTAACATCAACAATTTAGTGACTCTGTATTTAATCATGTAAATAGATCAAGTGCACTTAAACACTTAAACTATAATATTAATTTTGATTATTATTCGATTACTTTTATATAATTGAAATTTCAAAGCAACTTAAAAACTCTTATATGACTATGAAAAAGTCAATTACTTTTTTAAAATTTTTAAACATAAGCTCATTATTCAATAGTAATCATACAAAGAATTCGGTTTATTTGTTATACTTAATTTATATGAAAGAAATTTTTTTCCATTTTATACTTTTTGTATAATATGTACATTGTTTATTAAACTATTACTGTGTATAGTGAGAACCCTATTTAAGTTTAACTATCATATGTTAATTCGTGCATGAAATTAGGTTTAATTTCCTAGAAAATAAAATGGTATAGGTAAATAAGAGAAAATATTACATACGTACATACATATTATATAGTTTTGGGGGCATTAAATTTTCTGTTGTTGAATTCAAGTAGGTATTTCCTGCATATTTTTCAAATTTATTCCTTAAGAATAATCTGGAAATATCTGTACTATATAACAGTTTACATATAACAATAAACAAAAATTAATATTAAAGTTTTTTAGTAAAGAAGAGTCTCTTACATAATTTCATTTTTTGAATTATTGTAAAAACGTTACTTCTTAGCTTTAAATTAAAATTATTAAACGCAATTCTTTGAACACTTGCCCACTAGCTCGTATAAGACTCAAAGAGCCTCTACAAAATAGAAATTTTCATAATTCATTTTCTTATTAGAAAACGAAATATTCTCATGCAAAAATTATTTCAAAACTAAGAGACGCACAACCATTCAAATATTCTATGGTATGAAATAAAACAAAATTAATTCAATTTACATAAACTATAATTTTCTACCAAAAAAAAGGAAATTATAAATTTTCTTAATAAATCAATTTTTCTTTTTAATTTTCAGTATGCTTAGCTGGGCCACACGAAAAACGTTTACTAAATCATTTACTAGAAGGATATCAATCACTGGAACGTCCAGTAGTTAACGAATCAGATCCTTTACAATTAAGTTTCGGTTTAACGTTAATGCAAATTATAGATGTGGTAAGTAGATTAAAAAAACTAATCTTAAAAAATATTTTAATAAATAAATCTTTTGCATTAATTTTTGAATAAAATAAAAAAATATGTAATTGAAATCTAAGAAGAGAAATGCAATGTGAAGTATTTTGTTATGTGGAACGTTTTTAGTTTTTATAAAATAATTTTTTAAATAATTTTATTCCTGCGCAAAAACTAGTGGCTAAAATTTGACAAGTTTGTTAGTTTTATTAGACGAAATATTCTGCAAATTTTATAAACTTTTTCATTTCGTTATCCGAAAAGTAATTTCGTGGAAGAAATTTATAGTGCTCAATGCTGAGCCAATAGAATTACGAGCAGGGTCAAAAAAAAAGATCCAGAATTTTGTAAAAATAAACCTACATTTCGTTTCTCAATTTGCTCTCTTAATTAAATGTGTAAGATCTTTTTGCGTTAATTAAATATAAATGAGGACCTATGTTTTGAAATAAATAAAGTAATATTAAAAAAACGTTTTAAATTTACCATGAAATTTTTAAGTTTCTTTTTAATTTTAAATTGACTATATTGATTATAAATTCTATTTTAAGAGTACTCGATTAGATTCTGCGAATAAAATTTGTAAACTGTGATCCCTGTTCAATATTAAATTATAATTGAATAAACTTTAATCGTTTATAATCGGTCTTCAAATTATATTATATTTATTTGATTCATATTAGAACTTGTACCATAATGTACAATATTTCAATTATTTGACCCTAGTTCATATGATATTTTAATCTCTTAATGTCATAATATTATATTATAAAGCCATAATGAATTGGTTCCATTAAAGAAACAATGACTTATTCGTTTTTTATTATGATAGATGAGAATTAATGAATATGGTATAATCATTTCTAAATTCAATTCATTTTCTTTATTACCTTGTATAAAATAAATCTTATTTTTTTATATTATATTATTTCAAGAACATTCACATACATTCATGTGTACAAATATAATATAGAATTAATTAATATAATATTTTGCGTTTACTGTAGTATAATTTTGTATGCTTTTGCTTTATTATTATTGTAGTAAAGTGTTAAAATTGAAGTTGTTCTGGAAAATTTATGGAACACTCTATAGAATTCAAAGGAAAATTCAGCAATTTTAATTAAATTAAAATAAAATAGTAAAGAGTTAAAAGTGGAAATCTGATTTGATTCGTAAATTTATAAAGCGGAATAAATTTATTGGAATAGTCAAAATTATTGTTATACAACAAATTATACCTCAAAGAAAATATTTTTACTTAGCACAAATTATAAAAGTAGAATAGTTTATTGAAATAGTTAAAATTGCTCGTAATTGTAATAACAACATTTGCTTCGGAGCGTGCAACCAATATTCCTGAAGATGAAAGGTATTTCAAAACGATAAATATCGTTTTGGAAATATCACTATATAATAAGACCATTAGTAAATAATAATTTATTTATATAATTTAATTAGAACAAAAATAGCCTCATACTTCAATTAATTCCTCCGCAGAATTAAGCTTTTACATAATATTTCAACGCCAATTCAAATATTAAAATTTATTATTGTTCCAATTTCAACACAAACAATATTTCTTAATCCACAAATCACATACTTTAACAAGAACCTTCTTATTATGTCATACCCCATAACAAATAGACGCTAAAATTTATAATGCTTGAAAAAATTTGTACCTTCATTTATGGTATAGAGGTGCATACATGAGTGTGTAATATAAAAAATATATATATATATATATATTATTAGAAATTAATACGCAAAGTGAAAAACAATTTATTAAGGTGTTATTTTCTTAGCTTGTTCCTTACAAAATTTCCGGTCAATGAACATGTTATATGTCGTATTATTATATAAAATGACATTTACATACACATGCAAGTAATATTATAGTATATACAATAATGCCAAAAAATATTATATACTCTTAAACATATTGTAATATGCATATAAGTTTGTGTATAAGTAAATATTAATATTATTTTAAGCCTATATAAATAAAATATTATTATGTGAGGGATGCTGTGTGTGTGTGTGTAACTGTGAAAATCGTTTTTCCTCATTTTGCCCTTTTTGGTTATTTTTTTTGTTTTATTATTTTTTACAGTTTTTGATATTTTTTTTTGTATTGTTGTTAAATGAAGGTTCTGGCCTGAAGCACGTCAAGCAATAAAGAATCAACTTAAGTAAAAACAAAAGAAAAGAAGAAAAACAAAAGAAAATGGAAAAGCAAAGTGAAAAAGAAAAACTCTTTTTTTTTTTTCTTTTAGAACATTAAAAGATTTTACAGATGAATGATTAAGAAAACCCATTTATATTGTTGTCCACATAAACAACATCGATACCAATACATATACATACATAATACTTGTACGTTTCCATATATACATATGATATAAATGTATATGTATATATATGTACATATTAAGATTTTTTCTATATTTGTTCCTTATAATAATGTAAAATAATTATAATTACACCATGTTTTTGACAAGATTAATATTTGTTAAGTTGTAACATTAACATAGCTTTTCATGAAAATAATAAATTTAAGAATTTTGGGGCATAAAATGGAAGGATAAATCTATTCTTTATTTACTTGTTTTATTACGTAAAAGAAAGTAACATAAAGAAATAAAAAATAAATCTTTAAAAATGATTCTTCCCTTCAGTGCGTAAGTAAACAGATTTTTAATCGTTTAGGGTATATTTAAAAATTTATTGCATAAATACAGGCGTTTTGATTTTTTTAAACTTAATAAATAAATTTGTTTTTTATTAAAACTTCCGGTAATTATTAAAATAAATAATTTTATTAAATTTAAATTTTATAAACTTTAATTTTTTGAGTATTTTTAGGGACGACAAGCGATGTTAATAAATTGATTTTTATGGGAGGTTGCCGAAGTTATAATATATTCTATAGCGATTGCTACGCACGATTAAATATTGTTTTATATTAAATTAAAATTCTCAAAATCTCGTCTCTCAAATATTTACATACAGAAATGGGGTTTTTGAAGGAGCACTTTAAACTGAATGTAATCTTAAATTGTATTTTAGAAAATTTTTAAAATCATTATACTTGTTCGCAGCAATTTCGTGAATTCTTTTATTTTAAAAGTTCATTAATTTTTATAAATATCTGCTTAATATTCTCGAGTTATCAATTCTTAAATTTTTAAGAATTAATGTCTTATAATATAATTATTATGTAGCTATACAACTTGTTCATAAGTTCTAGTAGACATAAGAGATATTAAAAAAATTAAAATAGATCTGTCGTATTACAAACCCTACTAAATTTGATTTTATAACAATCTCTCTATTCGTAATATTATCGCTCTTACCAAAAGTAAGAGGAGTACATTAACGCAGCAATACCGAATATTGTATATGTACAAATAAGGAATTAAATATTTAGAATATTTTATTTTCAAATGGTTTCTCTGAAAAATGTTAAAAATAAAATATAATTCATTAAGAAAGAAACTAAAGAAGCATTAATGTATTAATAAAATTTCTTGGTATAGATCCTTTTTTTTAGAAAGTTGAAATTTTTCTTACTATAAATAAATCCTTCAAATTAAAAATTCAATATATTTTTTATTTAGCTTCAAAATTTAACACCTTAAGAGAATCTAAATTAAATTTAGAATACTCAGACTTTTAATACTTTGTGAATATTAATCTTTTAATTCTTATTCCTCTACCTAAAATTTATTACCGTAAAACATTATTATTAATTGAATTCGATTCCAGTCTATATTCATGCATTAAAGTATAAATAGAGACTGAAATAGAGAAACATAATAAATACGAGTATTAAAACGCGAATTTCATTTTCAATTATGCGAATTAAACACTTTAATATGAAATTTTTGTAATTCTTGTAATTCATTCATAATTTTCACCTTTCTGTATTTAATATTTACTTACGTGAAATTAAATTCTGAGAATTTATTTTCATATACACCTACAACATTATTCTATTCCTTGTCACAACTTCTTATACATTATATTTTAGACGTTACTTCATTTATACTCTCCCTCTTTTAAATTATAATATACAAAATGTTATCTAATGTCAGACACAAGAGTTATACGAGTATTATTATTGTAAAAACCATAACAGTGATTGTTTCACTCCGCTTGTATTTTTGTAAACATCATTTGACTGAAAATCAAGCAGAAGTAACTTAATTTCTGGAGAATTTTGAGCATTAAAACTTAAACTGAAGAGATAGAGAGAGAAAGAGAAGAAAAAAAATTAAAATTATATTTTGTTTCCTGAATTGCCTTAAATATTCTTTATTTTTTTTTTCCTCTCCTAAAAATAGAATCCATTTCCTTCCATTAATTATAGGCTTACGATATCAAACGAATTGATAGAATATAAAGCTATAAATTATGTTATATTTTTACAATAATTTTCGTTTCAATATAAAATACTAGTATAAAGTTTTCTTATTTTAGATGAATCAGGACTCAAACCATTTCCATATTATCAAAATAAAAAATGAAAATGAAAATAATATCAAGGAAGGAAAAGAAAAGAAAAAATAAGAAGAAAAAATAGGAAGAAAGCTAATTTCCGCTTCAAAATGCTTTTGAATTCATTTTAATATTATAATTTAGTAGGCGGGAAAAAAAAATTCTTAGTCGTAGCAATAAATTTGAAGAAGTAATCTTTTAATTTCCTAATTTTTAATCAAAAATATAAGATATAAAGAATTTTGGCACACCACATCATCAAACCCAATAATCTTTTATTTATTCTCTTGGTGGTATTATGCTTTTTGGTTTGTTTTCTTTATTTTCTCTTTATTTTCCCTTTTGAGGAGGGAGGGAATAAGAAAAATCCTTATTGAAAATGCTTTATTCATGTGAGCAGTAACTGAAGTACATAATTGTGTTGAAAAATATTTAAATGCTAGACAAAATGCTAAATGTAATAAATTAAATTATTGTCTTTT